TGGCCGTATGATTTTCCTGATTGTAAAACTGATTAAGTCATGTCTGCCGTTTTAACTGAAAAGTGAAAACAATCGCCGTATTGTTCTCACTTCCTGTAAAACTAGTTATGTTGCCAGTTCTGGTATTCTACCAAAATTAATATAAACAGTGTGCTGTAAAACGCTTTATTCTGTTTATACTACATATTGGTGGCCCGTCTACGTGTTCATAAATGACTGTGTATTCGTGTAAAGATTGACTTTACGTGTTGGCATGAAGAAAAATAGCAGAGCGCAGCGTGTTGGGCTGTGATGCTCAGAAAGCTCACAGAAATACTGCAGCTAGTGATGTTTTGAAAGCTGAAATAGTGTCATTGAGTCTTTATGAAAGCTGAAATTGTACGCCTGTTATGTGTAACTAAAAGCTGGGTTGTGTGGAAACGCTTTATTCTGTTTAAAGACGGTCCAGACGCGGTTCTGGTCCGGCTCGGTTCTGAAAAGGTTCGGACGAGTTGTTTAAATAGCTAGAAAGACGTTTTTGAGACCGGAGTAGCAGACTCCGTGCAACTCAGAATTGATTCGTTACAATTTTTAACAGAAAAAAGTGCATTTTGACAGTTTAAAAGACTAAAAGTTGACGAACTATTTCAGGCTAAATCTAACATGCTAGTTGGAAAAACGCTTCGTGATTGGTTGGATTTGCTGCTGTGGAGCGCTCTGATTTGCTGAGAAAGTGAATGACGTGCCTACGTCACTTCCTCTCACCCCTGTGCTGCTTTGTCATTGGTGATTTCAGTCACGTGACCCGGAAATGAAAACTCGTTTTCATAGGGAAATAAAATCTGCTTTTTAAAGCTGAAAAGCGCTTTAAAGTGTATTTTGATACGCTGGTTAAGTTCTTCGAAGCATACTCGCTGAAATTTCGCCGCGTTTGAGTTTAAAATCCGTCATTAAATGATGTTTTTGAACAACGCTGGCGATGCTAATTTTAAGCTAACAGCTAACGACCGGATGAGTGACGTGTCACGTCACTTCCTCCATGTCAGAAATGAGCTTTGCCGTGCTTAAAATCACTAAATAAAGCTGCCATATGTCCCAGAAAACTCATGTTTCATGCTAAAAAGTCGTGCTTGTTGAAAGAACGCCACGTTTACGCTTAAATTCGTTCAGAAATGTTGATTTTAACCGAGTTTAGCCGAAGCTAACTTTAAGCTAAGCGGCTAAAAACAGGATGTCAACCGAACGTCACAGGAAGTCGTCATAGACTCCTGCTGGTAAAAAGCTAAACACTGCCACCTCCTGGAGAAACTTGAGATCACAGTTTCACTTCAGTTTTAGGTATTTTGAGTGAAATTAAACGTTTTTTTATTTCTGTAAGACAAACTTTGAGTTAACAAACGTTCCTCAAAGCTGAATAATCACTGTTATATTGCATTTAAAAAGTAATTTCAGGTATTTATGCGAGACAGGCATTTACCAGGACATTTTCATTCACTGAATCCCTCAAACAGGAGGTACAAAATGGAAAATTAGAAACTTTTTAAAAGATACGGTTCAAATATTCACAGAGTTGAACAGTTTACTCATTTGCTTGAAAGATAATGCACGTTTAATTGCAAAATCACTAAATAAGAGTAACCTTATCAGGAAAAAGAAACTTTTCTGTTTAAGTTGCCACCTAAAAAATAAATCTTCCTATTTAATTTTAAATAGAAGTTACTGACAGGAGGACAGGAGTAATAACAGTTTTTCTGAGGAAAGACTGATTAATCCTGACACATCATCAATTTTTCTTTTTCTTTTCACTACTTGGTTCTATGAGTAACTGTAAATAGCAAATTTCTGGAACAGAACGGTTTAAAAAACGTTTTAAACTGATGATTGCTGTGAGACTAAAGAAAAATTGCAGGTTTATAAAAATTCAGTGCTTTAGAGTAAAATACACTAAAAAGAGCTTGGTAATCTAGTATCTGTTGAAAAATAAGCACATACAAGTAACACTGCATAGAAGCATTTACTTAAATATTCATGAATTGGGGTAAAACCTACAGAAAGGTACCCACATTTGAATAAAGTGACTTATAACAGTACTTTAGTGTAAACCCAAGGCTAAAATAGCGTGACACTCATTGACATTTGAATACAATTATTTACCTGTAAAAATATCTGAAGCTTGCAACTGTTTTAAACAGATAAAGTGCTACACAGTGAATGAACATGACAGGTGTGTTAGAAAAAGACTTTGATCCTTATGGGTTAAGGGACTGTTTAGAGAATGCGTTAGCGCTTCTGACAGATTCCTTACATCCATATGATAAACAGGCAGAGCGCATGAGCCCAAAAGAGTTAGTGGACAATCTGAAGGAGGTTGCAGAGAGTGTTACCTCTACAAAAATTTCAATGTCAAACTATGAAAAGCTGGCTAAAATTGCAATATTGCTGAAAGAATCATTCTATACAGTTGTTGAGAAAGCTGATTACCTTGCAATAAGGTTAGACAGTGAAAAAGAGGTGGTTCAGAAATTGAAGAACACTTCCTTCAATTTAAAAGTGAACACGAAGTCCTCACAAAAAAACATTCTGAACAGATGTTTCAATCACAGCAAAATGCAAATGCAGAAATTGATTCGCTGAATAGCAAAATAGATGTGCTTAACAAAGATCTGGAAGAACTCAGAGTGCATAAACAGATATTACTGGAAAAAGTTGTGCGTTCACGACGTGAATGTCGGTCATCGCAGGAACGCCTGAAGGCTTGTGAGGAGGAACTGGCCGCAGCAACAAACAAGATTTCTGACGTGGGGCGAGTTTGTCTGGAACTCAGAGAAGACCGTGGACAGAGTTCAGGTCACCCACAAACACCTCAGAAAGACGTTGTTGCACATCCTGCTCTTAATCCACCCTCATCTCGAGTGGTAGGAACAGACCTGAACAGGTCTCCTCCACAAAACATGCAACAGAGTGCATGGAAACTTCCTCTTTCAATGGATGTTCTGCTAAAACTCTCAAAATATGTACAACGCTTTGTACCTGGACCGATGGGTTCAACTGGAACAAAAGTGTACCTGAAAGATCTCGAATTCAGATTGAAGGATTATCCTAATGCTACGGTTGAGGATAAGATCAGTCTGATACAGCTCACTTCGGACAGAGAGGTATTCACCTTCATTGAGCGTCTACCTGATGCAACGAGAAAGGATTACAACCTTCTGTGTGAAGCTTTGATCAGAGAGTACGACCCCTGCACGGGACCTGCTGGTTTCCCAGCCGCTGACAAGGTCACGCAGGGCAAGAATGAACATCCAAAGATCTATTACAAAAGAATCTTCCAAGCTTATTTTGGTTACAGAAATGAAACCGGAATGGAGGAAGAAGAAAATTTTAAATATGTTTTCAGCAAAAATCTCCACACTGACATACGCATGTCAGTACAAATTATGGCAAATTTCAGAGAAAAATCCATAAATGAGATTAAACAGTGTGCTGTGAATGTGTTTGAGGTACGTTCTCATGCTAAGACGCCCATAGAGGTGTTTCCTGGTATAAAGGTTAAACCCCACTCCCTAGAAATGGAAGGAAGGCGCGCCGCGCCACCTCCTCCTAAAACAGGCGAGAAAAGGCAGTATTTTCAAACTAACGAACCACGTAATGAAGGTGCACGCTGGAACAAAAAGGCTCCTCTTTCAGAGGATGGACGTGATCATCGTAAATGGGACAGGCGTAGGACGCAAAAATATGGGATCCAAGAGGACCCATATTATCAGGGGAAATCCGAAGAGGAACCCCCAAAAGACGTACCTAGCCGCCTCCCACCTCGGACGAAACCTCCCAAGGCGAAAAAATCACAAAAGTTCCAGGAACAAGGCCCTAAACCTCTGAGCTCGGAAGAGACAGAGGAAATACAAAGGTTTTTAGACACTTTGATACACGCTGAAATGGGAACCCGACCAGGAGCACTGTGTAGTGATACGATCGCTACTAACTCTGACGGCGCGAATGACAACATTACAGATGTCGGTGAAACA